CATAAAGAGCTCCACCGAAGGCCCCAGCGGCTGCGTTCGCATGCGGTTCCACCCCCTTTTTCGGCACGCCTTTCACACGTCTCGTGGCCCCATAGGGAGCTCCACCGAACGCCGCAGTGGCTGCGCTCGCAGGCGGTTCCACCCCCCATGTCGGCACACCCCTCACACGTTTCGTGGCCCCATCGGGAGCTCCACCGAAGGCCCCAGGGGCTGCGGTGGCATGCGGTTCCACACCCATTTCTGGCACACCCCTCGCACGTTTCGTGGCCCCATAGGGGGGCTCCACCGAAGGTCCCAGTGGCACTGCCCGCTTGTGTCCGCCACCACCCAGCACAGCCCTTGTTCCCTGCGCTTCACCCACCCAGAACAGCGTTTCGTAGCCCTATAGGGAGCTCCACCAAAGGACCCAGCGGCACCGCCCGCATGCGTCCGCCACCACCCTGCACAGCCCTTGCTCCCTGCCTGCGTTTCACCCACCCAGTACAGCGCTTCGTGGCACCATAGGGAGCTCCACCGAAGGTCCCAGTGGCACCGCTCGCATGCGTCCGCCACCACGCAGCACAGCCCTTGCTGACCGCGTCTCACCCACCCAGTACAGCGTTTCGTGGCCCCATAGGGAGCTCCACCGAAGGTCCCAGTGGCACCGCCCGCATGCGTCCGCCACCACCCAGCACAATTGCGGCATTCACAACTGCACATGGTTGGGTCCTTCGCCAGGCTAATTTTCCTGCTACCTCTTCTTCCCTCCTACCTCTTCGTGAGCTCCTGGCAGGTGCGGCGGAGTAGCGGAGCATGCGGATCCGGACGGGACCTCGCTGCTCCTTGGGTGGTTGCGAACTGCACAAATGACGCCACGTTCGTAGGGTTCCTGGTGGGCACGGCGGAGTAGCGGAGTACGCGGATCCAGATTGGATGTTGTTGCTCCATGTGGCTGCGGACTGCGCAACCGTCGCCATCTTCGCGGGCTCCTGCGCAACTGTCGCCGCTCGTGGGGGGCACGGCGAAGTAGCAGAGTAATTACGTGGATCCAGACGGGACTTCGCTGCTCCCTGGGTGGTTGCGAACTGCGCAACTGAAGCCATTTTCGTGGGTTCCTGAGAGGCTCAGCAAAATCGGGGAGTACGCGGACCCAGACGGGACCTCGCAGTTCCTTGCGGGATTGCGAATGCGCAACTGATGCCATTTTCGTGGGTTCCTGGGGGGCCCAGCGAAGTAGCGGAGTACACAGATCCAGACAAGACTTCGCCGCTCCCTGGGTGGCTGCGAACAGGCAACCGTCGCCATTTTCGCGGGCTCCAGGGATGCGCAGCTGACCGGTGGAGTACGCGGAGCTAGGCGGGACTTCGCGAATCCCTGGATGGCTGCGAATTGCGCATATGTGGCCACTTTCGTGGGCTCCTGGGAGGACCGGCGGAGTGGGGTGCCACGGGGTGTCACGCGGATCCCGTCGAGACTTCGCGCCTCCTTTCAAGGGGGGAAAGACCACCCGGATCCGATAACTGGCGTTTACCAAACGGCCTTGGGCGTTCACTGAACAGTCTTGCCCTGTTTGATTCCTTCTTGGGGTGCGTTTACTGAGCGGCTTTGCGTGTCGGGGTGATCATTATGGGGGTGGATTTCTGCCCTCGATCCTTGGGTGGCTGCGAACTGCACAACTGTCGCCACTTTCGTGGGCTCCCGGGAGGTCCAGCGGAGGCGGTCGGCAGGCGAGACCTCGCGGAACCCGTGGGCGCCCCGGCGGGACCTCGCGGCCCCCGCGGGTGGCTGCAAACTGCGCAGCCGTTTCCATTTTCGTGGGCTCTTGGGAGGTCCAGCGGAGTCGGTGGCCACGCGCACTCCAAGGCGGGAATTTATCCATGTCCACCGCCTGGAGGGTCAGTCTTCGGAGCCTCGGCAGGCGGTGGATATGGACATATTCGGGCCCCCGGGGGCCGAAATATATCATTCACCGCCCGTTGGGGCACCAGGACGTCGGCTCCCAGGTGGTGGATATGGATAAATCCCCGGCCCGCACGCACGCGCCCATAACTGTCGCCACTTTTGTGGGCTTCTGGGGGGTCATCCGTCCTGGCGGTCGCTGCGGGACTGGGGCGACCGTCGGATCCAAGATGTCGTGTCGTTCAAGCCTTCAGGGCAGCCCAGCGTTGCGAAATTGTGCGCAGCGGTTGCACGACGATGGTGGGCGCACCGTCGAACCCCGCGGGGTGGGCCTCTGTTGTGGGTCGTGGCCCTCTGAACGGGCAGGTGGACGTCCCCTGGCCTCTCTCGCGGCCCGCGGTGCTTTCGGGAGTTTTGTGCGAATTGCTTGATTTGAGCTTCGCAGTTGCAGGGTGTGTTTTGTGTTTCCTTGGCCTCTGTGACGAGCGAATCCGCGTAAGCCAGTGTACGTTCTGAGATACGAGCCAGAATCGCATTGAGTGAAGGCATACATCATGATTCCTATCCGCGCGATGGCCAATAGAAACCGCAGAAGGACGTTAGAAACGAGCGTGTTTGAAACCATGTATGCGCGCGCGTTGAAACGAAAGCACAGTGAATTTAAACGCGAATATTTAGTTTCAGTGGCACAATTGTTGTGATAAAACATGGAATGCAATGCCCCTGCGTCGCACACACATATATATATATATATATATATATGCGTTTAGACAAAACACGTGTTTCGCTTACGTTTTGTTGATTGAACCTTTCGGGTTGTTCATTGTTTGGGGTATTTTGTCAAAATATACCACGCGGTTAGTCTATCGAGTTTCAACCGTTGTCAACAATTCGTAAACTGAGGATTACGGGTTAATCCGAGATGTCGTTGTTATGTTCAAGGGGTGGTTGCCCTTGACGATTGGTTTATGTTGTCGTTGTTTTTACTGCGAGATCGGTTCCACAAGTGTGTGCCGGGAGTGATGGGAGGTCCAGCGAAGTCGGGGGCCACGCGGATCCAGTCGAGACCTCGCGGCCCCCTGAGAGGCTACGAGGTGCGAAATTGTCGCCACTTTCGTGGGTTCATGGGAGCTACGGCGGAGATGAGGGTACCGCAGATCGTGCATATCTGGCGATGTGTTATTGTGTATGGAGCTGTCATGCAAAAATTTGCCTCGCGTGAAACGGGGTTGGGTACATCTCGAATCATTGTAATGCAAAGTGTCGGCTCATGCGAAGGTATTGGTTTCGCGCCAACTTCCGGCAGTGACAGACGGGCCAATGCGGTGAAGCATGAAAGAGCAGCGGCAAGAGAAAGAGAGGGAGAGAGCAAGAGAGAGAGAGAGAGAGGGAGAGCGGGAGAGAGCGCGGGAGAGGGAGGGTTGGGCGTTTGGCAGCGGGGGGGCCACGGGGGGCAGAGGATTGCGGGAAAGGGGCTCTACAGGGTCCCCCCCCAACCGGCCCCCCAGACTGCCACTGCGGGCCCCCAAACGGTGATGGAAGAGCGCTTCCCCCCACCCCTCGGTCATGCCCCTCCCCACTGTCGGCGAGCGCCCGATGGGGGGCAGCAGCCACGCCACGACTCCGCCTCTGGGCGTCAGCACCTCGCATCGCCCCCCCCCCTCCTGCTCCTCCTCCTCCTCCTCCTCCTCCTCCTCCTCCTCCTCCTCGTCCTCGTCCTCCTCCTCCTCCTCCTCCTCATCCTCCTCATCCTCCTCCTCCTCCTCCTCCTCCTCCTCCTCCTCCTCCTCCTCCTCCTCCCCCTCCTCTTCCTCCTCCTCCTCCTCCTCCTCCTCCTCCTCCTCCTCGTCCTCGTCCTCGTCCTCGTCCTCGTCCTCCTCCTCCTCCTCCTCCCTTTCCTCCTTCTCCTCCTCCCTCCTGCTATAACAAACTGCGTATGATCACGCTCGCCGCGCCCAGCGCCGCGCTTCTTTACACTGCGGGCAAGGAGTGCCTGGCCACTGCACTGCACACGATGACGCCATAGATGCCGGCTGGACTGACGGAAGGTAGGGTCGCTCTTCCTCCCTTTTGCCATTTTCAGGGCTTCGTGCATAAAGGGTGTTCGAGGGGCTGTTACTTGTTTGCCAACGGCGGGGGCACATCGCTCCCATGCCGCCCATCGGTTTGGTGCATAGCACATTGTTGCAGTGACCAGCTGATGCTTCACAACCACCACCTTGTCACTTCCCTCCTCCTCCTCTTCCTCCTCCTCCTCTTCATCCTCCTCCTCATCGGCATCTTCTTCCTCCTCCTCCTCACTCCCTCCCTCCTCCTCCTCCTCCTCCCGTTCTGACACGGCGATTAAATCAATATTGCCCGAGACCTTGGATGCCGCCTGAGTCCAACGCAGGTTGAAAACCATTGCGGTCCCGTCTTGCTGGTGGCAGTTGTCGATGTTGCAGCAATATCGCCTCCCCCTCCCTCGTCACCCTTCTTCCATCCTCCATCTCTCCGACGAAGGCGTCTATACACCACCACCGTGCCAGGCCAGGGCCATCCTGGGCCCTGGGATGGTGTATACACCCTCCTGGCCTCGGCCAGGCGGGCGCATACGGTCGGCACCGTGGTAGTGTATAGGCGCCTTCTGCAAACGGTGGGGCGTTGGTTAAGGAACGTGCCCAGGAGGCTCCAGACCCTGAAGGATTCCTTACCTGGGAAGGGCGGCGATGATGTCCATGGTCAAGCACCGATTGATTTTCCACCAGCTCCCAGGCCCTGGATTCCTTTTCTAAGGGTTCCTTATCCAATGCCCTCATGGATTCGTTGCCCTGTCGGAGGCGCGGGCCAGGGGCCTGGCGGCGAGGGGCGAGCGGGCGGCGGCGGCGGCGGCCCATGAGGGCGGCTAGCGCGGGACCTGCAGTATTGCATGAATTCACTCACGGGCCTCGCGGCCCTCGAAGAGCCACATGCCCTCACCGTATTTCCATCCTCCATTCTTCCGCCCCCCTATTCGTCCTCTTCCTCCTCCTCCTCCTCCTCGTCCTCCTCCTCCTCCTCCTCGTCCTCCTCCTCCTCCTCCTCCTCCTCCTCCTCCTCCTCCTCCTCCTCCTCCTCCTCCTCCTCCCCCTCCCCTTGCCAAGGGAGCTGGCCCCCGCCGCCGCGGTCGGCGACGGCCTGCCGCGCCCCCGCGACCACCACGGCGCCTGCTTCGTGGGCGGGCGCCTCTTCATCTTCGGCGGCCGCGCCAGCGAGGCCCCCCCTTCTCGGAGGGCACCAACTATACACCAACACCGATCCTGGCCCAGGATCACCCTGGGCCCAGGATCGGTGTATATGCCGTCTTGCCCAAGGCAGGAGGGCGTATACACCGATCCTGGGCCCAGGGTGATCCTGGCCAGGATCGGTGTTCGTGTATAGTTGGTGCCTTCCTACCTTCCCTGCCGTCGCGTCGGGGGGCCCCTTTTCGCGGCGACGACGACGACCACGACGACCTCCCTCTCAAGGGGAGGGAAAAATACACCAGGGACCCAACAACTGGCGTTTCCGAAACGGCCCTGGGCGTTTACTGAGCCGCCCTGCCCTGTTCGATTCCTTCCTGGGGTGCGTTTACTAAGCGGCTTCGCGTGCCGGGGTGATTATTATGAGGGTGGGTTTTCTGCTCTCAATCCTCCACCTCCGGCTGTGTCGCGCAGGCCTTTTGGACTGCTGCCGCCGCCGAAGCGAGGCCCCTGGGGGAGAAGAGGGGTGATCATCCAGCAGTGGCGAAGCGTCTTGGCTCGCCTAATTATAGGCCCACCGAAGGATGTTCTATCTAAGAAGCACCTGTGGTTTGCGCGGAATGTTCTTGGAACGCTGCTGGCTGATATTGTCTTGTTTTGACACATCGGATTGGGGCTCTAAGAACATTGCTCATAGGATTCGAACACTTCTGGGTTGTAGGAGCACGTCGGGGTAGGCCGGAGGCGGGGACGGTCAGCCCCTGCTCTGGGTAAGCCAGTCGGGCGATCGGGGAGAGGTCCTCCATGGCATTCCCACAGCTCCTCCTCCTCCTCCTCCTCCTCCTCTTCCTCCTCTTCCTCCTCCTCCTCCTCCTCCTCCTCCTCCTCCTCCTCCTCCTCCTCCTCCTCCTCCTCCCCCCCTCCTCCTCCTCCCTCCTCCTCCTCCTCCTCCTCCTCCTCCTCCTCCTCCTCCTCCTCCTCCTCCTCCTCCTCCTCCTCCTCCCTCCCTCCCTCCCTCCCTCCCTCCCTCCTCCATCCCTCCTCCATCCCTCCTCCCTTCAGAGGTCCTCCATAGCATTTCCACAGCGTTCACGAGCCCGAAACATAGCTTTGTCCTTGCGATTGGCACCGTCTCGTCTCGGTGTTTGTCCTGCGGGCCCACTGGGTGTGTGAGGCCTCCTACTGAAGATTATCGTCGTCTTGTGCTTCTCATTTCTAGCTCTCGTGGTCAGAAAGTGATCGTTTTCTAATTCACTGTTTTGCCGATCGGCGCGGGCCCTCGCACCCCCCCCCTCCCCCTTACAGAGTAGACCTTGTGTATGCATGGCGCCTGTTTCGGGCAGGCGGAGTCTCCCCCATAGGACGCACTGTTGTTACACCTTAGGCGATGCTTAAGAAAACCTAAGTTTTCGGTCAGAGTCTCGATTATTCTTAATGTTTCAATGTAAATCCTAATTTTTTAATAGAAATGTTGGGTTCTCATTCAAATTCTGAGAGTATGAATTTCTGAACCCATGATTTCTTAAGCATTTCGCAGGGTGTACAAACACTCACATCAGGCAGAGGTCCAGAGCCAGACCCCCACCCCTCCCCACCCCCTCCGCCTAATCTAGAAAGAATCGGGGAAAAACGTAAGACTCGAGTGAGCCGGAACTCGGGCTCGCCGACGTCTTTTGACGAGCGCGTCCCGGATTTTGACGGTCCAGTTTTCGTGGGATGTCTGGAGCGGGAGCTCGCGTCAGGTTTTAATTTGTGTCTCGCCATTTTTATGGTGGCCCTGTCAGGCCAACCCGATTCCCCCGTACCTGAGTCTTACGTCTCCCCGATCGAAGTGCCGAAGTAATAATAACAACAACAACAACAACAACAACAACAACAACAACAACAACAACAACAACAACAAAACGTTCACAGAGCCTGCGGCCGATTGGTTGAGAAGGCACCGCGGCCGGAGGCCTCTCTCTCTCGGGCGCTCTGATGTGCTCTTAGAGCTGGTTTCGGTTCCTCCGATTCGATTCGATTCGATTTCGATAGTTTCCGATTCAGATTCGATTCGACTTCGGATTCCGATTTGGCATCCGATTTCTCAGCTGTGTTCTACGAGCCTGCCGATTTCCGCCGATTCGACTTTTGCCGATTTGCTGCAGATTCCCGTCGATCCGGTTCATTCCGATGGCCGATCCGACTTGTCGATTCGATTTTGGGTTCTCCTGGGCTCTCGTGCGAAGTTCGCAGAGGCCGTCGGGGGCGACTCGGGCTACAAGGGAAGCCAGTGCCAGGGAAAGAGAGGTCCAGGCCTCCAGGGGCCCACGGCGTGAGGGGAGCCTCGGGCGGGGTGTACCAGCGCGTTCGAAACAGTGACCATCGGCGCTCGATGATATGTTGAGAACATGCACGGAGGCGCGACGCCCGAAGTCTTTCCTGAGAAGTCCGCAGGGGTCGGGCGAAGAGAACTATGCACATGCACCGATCCTGGCAAGGCCCATCCTTCACCCAGGATCGGTGCATATGCCTTCCTGGCCAAGGTAGGAGGGCGTATGCACCGATCCTGGGCTCAGGATGGGCCTGGCCGGAATCGGTGTATGTGCATAGTTCCTTTTCCTCTAAGGGGCAAGACTGTCTGAACCTCGCGAGTGGGAAACATGCAAGGGGCGGAGATCTGGCCAGGCGGCTCACTTCTGCGCGGTCGTTCTTTATCGCACGCCCCGGTAAGGGGGGCTGACCCAAACGGGGGATGAAGAAGAAGGCCCCAACAAAAGGGGCCTCTGTAGGGCCTCTTTGGGGCGCCAGCTGGTGCCCCAAAGGGGTTAGTTATGATGTCCCAACCTGCTTTAGCCTTGGCTGCCAGAAATCATTTCGAGCACCAAGAGAGCACCGAAACTTGAGGGTTTTCACGTGTCGGACCCTGGGAGGCGATACTCGTTCGACACTGCTTCGATACTTTTTTCTGGATGTTCGAACTTATGCTTGGGATGTGGCCCCTTAGGTACGATTGGAACCACATAACTCTTTTAGGACCTTCTTCTTCCCCCCCCCCGTTTGGGCCACCCCCCATGGACCACCTGCCCGAGAGGCACGGCGGTGGAAGGCCTGGGGGGGGGGGGGAGTAGGGTTAAGTCGGGCGTGTTCCTCTACAGGGGGAAAATTCTAAAAGAGTCAAAAAATACTATGGGGATTATTTGTTGAGTATTTGTTGACCATTTGGGGGTATGTTTGGGATTATTTGTTGAGGATTTGTTGAGTATTTGTTGACCACTGCCGCCTGCGAAATAAACGCCCGCTTGTAGGGGGGCAGAGCGCCCCCCCCCCCCCGCGCTCCGCATCTCGATGCCGGCCGACGAATGCGCCAACAGGGGGCGCCAACAGGGAGCGCGACGTGTTGCGAAGCAAGAGGCGCGCGTGCCGAGGATCTTACAGTCACGGATGTGGGACACTGGGGGATGGAGGTGGCGCCAGCCTGTGGCAGTTTCGGGGGAGCGCGCGAGTGCTGCGACGCGCTGAGCCATGGCGTGAAGAACTTCTTAGGCCACTGTGAGCCAGTGGCGTCTCTATGCCTCTTCGGGGCCATGGTGCCATTGGGCGTCTCTGGGGCTTACTGAGAGGGTCTCTCGTCGGCCCGTCAGGGGTTCCTCTGCCCTGGCTCCTGATCCGCCGTACTTTGGATGATTTTCCGACCTAAAATTGTGTCGGAAATCGACGCCAAAGGAGCCTCAAGGGCGGAAATCGACGCTCAAAGGGGCCTTAAAAGTACGGCGGAAATTTCCGCCCTACTTTCGAAATCGCCCAAAGTAGGGCGGATCAGGAGTCAGGGTGGGCTGTCGTCGGGCAATCTTGAGCTGTCTCGTGGCCCTTCTGGCGCACCGTGGGGACTCGGGGGGCCAGGGGCACGGCCAGAGCGGGGGGGGGGGGGCACGGTCGGTCGGTCGGAGTGAGCAGGCGAGGGGGCCACGGGCCCGGAAGGGGCGGGGCAGGGGCGTGGCCGCGGAGAGGGGGAGGGAGCCAGAGGGGGTGCGGGGGGCGCGGGCGGCCGGCGGGGGCCACGGGGCGGAGGAGCACGGGGGGGAGCAGGGGGCGGGAGGGCACGGTCGGGCAGGGGAGCCCTGGCTCCTGATCCGCCGTACTTTGGATGATTTTCCGACCTAAAATTGTGTCGGAAATCGACGCCAAAGGAGCCTCAAGGGCGGAAATCGACGCTCAAAGGGGCCTTAAAAGTAGGGCGGAAATTTCCGCCCTACTTTCGAAATCGCCCAAAGTAGGGCGGATCAGGAGTCAGGAGGCGTGGCCCGGAGAGGGGAGGGGGGCAGAAGGGGAGGGAAGCACGGTCGGCCGGCGGGGGCCACGGGGCGGAGGAGCACGGGGGGGAGCAGGGCCCTGACTCCTGATCCGCCCTACTTTGGGCGATTTCGAAAGTAGGGCGGAAATTTCCGCCGTACTTTTAAGGCCCCTTTGAGCGTCGATTTCCGCCCTTGAGGCTCCTTTGGCGTCGATTTCCGACACAATTTTAGGTCGGAAAATCATCCAAAGTACGGCGGATCAGGAGCCAGGGGGGGCGGGAGGGCACGGTCGGGCAGGGAGGGGGGCACGGCCGGTCGGTCGGTCGGAATAAGCAGATGGGGGCCACGGGGCGGAGGGGCGCGGGGCACGTTCGGTCGGCCGGTCGGACCGGGGAGACGGGGGCCGCAGGGCGGAGGAAGGGGGGGGGCACGGCTCCTCCTGACCGATTTGGGCCCGTTGCCCAGGCCCAGCAAGGGCTTCCTTCGATGCTCGTTTTGGGGACCTTCCTGGGGCCCACCTAATGGATCTGCTCGACTCAGGTTCGACTCAAGTTCGACTCAGGTTCGACACAGATTCGACTCAGATTCGACTCAGGTTCGACGCAGCTTCGACGCACGAGTGGAGCGAGTGGCTCCAGGAAGGTCCCCAGAATGAGTATCGAAGCTTCCAGGAGCTCTGAAACGCTTGGGGGGATTCCTGCAGGGTCGTCCAGGCGTTCCCCCGGGGCCCCGGACCCGGGGGATCCAACGTCCCGGGGGC